AATCCAAGCAAATGGACCTAGTAAACAAGCAGGTGTTACTGTTCTATTAGCTGACAAAATTCACTTCAAATTAGCCAGAAGAGATAAAGAATGTTTACCTGATTAAAGAGAACAGACCATCAAGAGGACGGTATAATGCTAAATGTGTGTGTGCCAAACATGAGCATACTCAATTTTTATATAACAAATACTGTTAGGTATAAAATCATAGATTAACCTCAACACAATAGCGTTGGGTTATCTCAATACCAACTTCCCACAACAGACAGGTCATTCCAAGGAAAAATATGTATCTGAGTTAAATAACATCGTAGGCCAAGTAGGACTAACAGACCTTTATAGACATTTCATTCAAATATTCAGAATATTCTTCTCAGCAGCCTCTGGGACTTCCCCAAAAAGAGGACACGTGATGAACATACAGAAAATGTGGAAATCATCTCTTATATTTTGACCACAATGGAGTAAAACAAGAGATGCTGTACAACAGACACAGACTGATGAGGATTAAACCACACACTATTGCATGATGAATGGGTCATGGAAGAAGGGAAGAGGGAGTTAAAACATTCCTACATGGAATGAAAACAGACACATCATGTGAAAGCTTTCAGCATACAGTGAGAACAGCTGCTCTGAGAGAGAGCTCAGGGCTGCAGTGCCTACATTATCAATTTGAGAGATCTCAGATAAATAATGATCACCCTGAGGGGAAGAACGAGTTAAACATAAAATTAATATGTGAAAAGAGATAATATCAAGCTAGAAATCACCGAAGAAAGAATCAATGAAGAAGAGAGCTATTTCTTTGAAGAGAAAAACAAGATAGGCAAAACCTAGCCAAATTAAGATAATGAAAGAAGGCTCAAATTAATAATGAAAAAAAAAACCCTAAAAATGTAAAGAAGACTTTACAACAGATACTGGGGAAATTCAGAGAAAACACTTCCTGATACATATGATCTACCAAGGTGGGATAAAGAATTTAAACAGGGGCCTAGAGGGACATCTCAGTGGTTGAGAGTGCTTGTTGTCTTCCAGAAAGCCCAGATTTGGTTTCCTATACCCATGTCATGTGAAACACAACCATCTGTAACTCCACCTTCAGGGGATCCAGTGCTACACACACACACACACACACACACACAAATAAAATTAAACATCAGATCTACGTCAGTTGGTGAGATTAGGGCAGTAATAAAATCTCCCAGCTAGAAAATATCCAGGCCCAGGTGGATTCACTGGTGAAGTCTATCAGAAGCTATGTATTTTATGTATTTATGTATAGATATGGTCTCACTACATATGCCTGGCTGTCCTGGAACTTGCTATGTAAGACCAGGCTGGCCCCAAATCCACCATCCCCAGCTTCTATCAGACTTTTAAAGACCGATGCTCAAACTATTTCATAAAATAGAAAAGGAGTGCCTTAAAACTCTTCTTACAAAGCCAGTCATACTATAATATGGAACCAAAGACACAGCAATGACAAAATAAAATCGTAAGCCAGATTTCTTGATGAACATAAATGTAAAAATTATCAATAAAATACTTACACACTAAATTGAATAAAACATCAAAAAAAATCATTCACTCCAGCCAAGGTGGCTTCATTTAACAGATGCAAAACAATAAATGTAATTCATCATATAAATGAGCCCGAGGACAGAAATCACATGATCATTTTAATACATACAGAAAAGGCTTTGACAAAAATCCAACATCCCTTCATCATAAAATCCCCAAGAGGCTAAATAGAAGGAATGTCTGTCTTCATAACAAGTGTATGCATGACAAACTGCATCTAACGTTCTACCGAACGGGGAAAACATCTCAAAGCGCTCACACAAGACAAGCATGTTTACTTTCTCTACTTTTATTTAATACAAAGTTTATTTCTTAGAGAAATAAGACAAGAGAAGGAAATGAAAGGGGGCTGGATACAAACAGGAAGGAAAAATGTCAAAGCAACCTTATTTTCAGATGACTTGGTACATAGGAGACCCCAAGATTCTACTAGAAAACTTGTGAGCTGGGAAACTCTTGCAGCAAACTGGAAGGATGCAGAATGAACACACCCAAGCTGCCAGCAACAAACACGGGGAACGAGAAGGGAGTCGGGCAGTCAGTTCTAGTCACACTTGCTTCAAAAAAAGAATACTCTGAAATAAACCTAACCAATGAAGGGAAAGACCTCTCCAGTGAAAACTTTAAACCTCTGATGAAGGAAATCAAAGACACTCGAAGATGGAAGATGCATGCTCATAGAAGGAAGAATCCACACTGTGGAAATGGCCATCTTTACATTTTTGGTTACTTTTTTTTTTTTACATTTATCAGATGTCAGCTAATATGATCGCCAATCTTACCCTGGCTCAAGAGACGAGGATAGAGTGTGAGAGAGAAAACCCTTTATATGTGTGCACGCAGGCACATCCTCACATGTGTATATGCTATAGACAAAATATACACAAACAAAATTTAAAAAATTCTATTTCAATCACTAATATAACTAATTTATATGCATTTGTGGTGTATTTATCTGTACACGTTCATGTGTGTGTGCATGTATGTGTGGCTGCTTATCTCTGTGAGTGCCCTATGTTGATATCCATGTCTTTCTTGGTTGTTTTTCATTCTTTCCCTCTCCCTCTCCCTCTCCCTCTCCCCATCTCTCCCTCTCTCCCTCTCTCTCTCTTTCTCTCTGTAGTTGGAGCTCAGAAGGAGAATCAGTTATTTCCTTCGACCATGTGGGGTCTAGAGGGTTGTACTCACGTTATCAAGGTTTGGCTACAAGGACCCTTACCCTCTGAGCCATTTCACAGACCCTTTACCTTACTTTTGAGACAGGGTTTCCTTGTGAACCTGGAGCTCATCCGTTTCACTAGGCTGGCTGGCCAGCAAACTCTATGGCCCCCAGGAATGTAATTATGGATGTGTTCTACTGTACTGTACTTTTTTCTTCCCAATACAGGGTCTCACTCTGTAACCCTTGCTGGCCTGGTACTCACTATACAGACCAGGCTGGCCTTGAGCTCATAGAGACCCACCTGCCTCTGCCTCCCAGGTGCTGGGATTAAATGATACACCCCATGCTGCTGCTGCTGCTGCTGCTGTTGCTGCTGCTGCTGCTGCTGCTGTTGCTGCTGTTTCTGTTGCTGTTGCTGTTGCTGTAGCTGCTTCTTTTCCTTTGAGACAATGTTTTACTGTCATGAGGCTTCCTGTGTAGACTAGGGTGCCAGGTCAGTAAACTCAGAAATCCTCCATCCTCCTGCCTCCAAATTCCCTGGAATTGCAAGTTTGTGTCATCATATTTGGCCTTTTAAACCCTGGGTTCTGGTGATCCCTCTCCTCTCCTCTCCTCTCCTCTCCTCTCCTCTCCTCTCCTCTCCTCTCCTCTCCTCTCCTCTCCTCTCCTCTCCTCTCCTCTCCTCTCC